TTTTTGTACACATATCGTTCTCGCTATTAAGTCATCCGTGAGGTGTAATTTACATATTTGCAGCATTTTAGTCTCCTTTTCAAACCACCAAACAAACCATCTTCTGTTTTTGTCCTTCTCTACTGATCAGTAGTTTGAAAGTGTGTCGTTTGAGATGATCATGTGATACGTTATTGTTGTTTTGATTAGCTGTTCCATGAAACTCAAAGAAGTTGAGACACTTGCAACTTTTCTGGCTTTACATTATGCAACTCAAGTGCGATTTAGTTTCATGTAGGCAAAATTTGCAAGAAAATCCAAGTTGCATGAAAGTTTCACCGTGTAAAGCCTGCCTGAGCTATTCTACGTAGTATGTACGATATCGGACATTTCTAGTGGGAACACTGCATTTTTTCATAAGGCAGGAAAAAATGACTTGCACCACACTGTCTGTGCTTTTTAAAGCCTGTGTTGGGCTGTGATTCTCCTTGTTGCTAAGCAACAACTGGTGATAACTAACTGCCTAGCTAAAAACAGCCAAACTTCTTGCTTGATAATTATAAATAACATAATGAGTTAAGAATGAAGAACTTCCTTTAAATTTCAAGCACTTTATAAGAACCCAGCTGTGCTAGCAAGCTATCGTTTTGATCTGTATCAGCAAAACGTGCTAATAATACCTAGCAAAATCAAGCTAAACTATGTCTAAAACGAAAAAAAATCATATCTTTAAATAATAGTGAGTCTTACTTTATGTAATAAACTGTTTTGCTTCATATTTTGAAATTTATGACTCTAACTGTAGATGCATTCCTGCTGCTGTGGGTTTCCTCGAGCTCAAAGTTGTGGAAAAAGCGCTACTGAAGTGCTCATAGCACCACATTTAGGAATCTGAATTATTTAGGAGAAAATTAATTCTCTGTACATTTCACAAAACTTTTTCCTGATGCTTTTGTTTTTCCACTTATTGAGATTTTTATCGTTGAAGCATTTTATGTTGTTTTTATCTCAGTGCTAAAAAATGTTAATTTGTGCGCATTTAACTTTTAGAGCACCGGTGCTACATACTCAAACGTTTTCCGTGCAGTCCTGCCTTATGTCTTGATAAAGTGTGCCTTTCTTAGCCCGAGTCAGAAACTTCTACTGAAGACCAACAGATGAGGACAGAAGGCTCTGCCACTGCTCCCCACGGTGGTCTGGAAGACGGATATGAGGTGATGAAAAGCGTCAGTCCTAAAAGCAGCGAGACCCGGAGAGCCTTGGAAGAATGTGATTCACCTTACCTGCTGCTGAAAGAACCCAGCGCTCCTTCACTCGGAGGGACAGTCAACCTCATCCTCAGCTTCAATAACTCAGGGGACAGTCAGCTGCAGGTACAGGAGCCGGACCACGAGAAGGTTGGGGAGCTCTCAGAGGCCGTGCACAGGGTGAGAATTACACGATCAATATTGTATGATGTCTAGAAACAACCTCTGCAAGAAGGACACCTGAAGAGGGTTGGACTGCCGAATTTAACCCCTTTATCACAAGCCTATATTCATCACACGAGGTTCAACTTCAACAATCTAAATAATAAACAATAATCATAAACAGACGGTTTTTATAGACTGTGTCAACTACGGCCTGACCGATATGGAAATTTTCTCACTGATACAGATATTAAAGGAATAGAATGGCAAGAAATCAAATTTATTTAATTTGAAATTTATTTAAAATGATTTAAAATTTATTTAATCAGCCAAATTATACTTCTTTATTTTAGAGCAGGGCTGAAGGCTAACAGTGCCAACAAACACTGGAAATCAACAGTCACTCAATCTGTTGTGAAATGTTACCAAAATATGAATATAAGAATTAAAGCACTAAGAGCCTTTTAATTGGCTCTTCTTGGATAATAACACACTTTGTACTGTTATTCCATTTATTTCATATGTAAAGAAGAGCAGAAACTACAAAATATGACGGTCTGTTGTGTCAGATCTCAATCAAGTTTCCTACATTCATACAGCTCAAAAACAATAAATCTATATATATATATATATATATATATATATAAAACAATAAAACTATAATATATATATATATACTTGCCCCTAGAACATGTAAACAGCATTAACTCATAATATTGACCTCTCAAACAAGATGTTTCAATACAATGTTCCAACAAACACACATATGAAAAAATCACTTTTTGTCATAAATTTATGCAGAAGTTGAAGTTTCAGGTGGACTTTAAATTACAATTAATGTGAATAAACTTCCATTTACAGTGTTTGACAAACACTTTTATCCAGAGTAGCTCACAGTCTAATAATGTTATAAATATTAATACAGGGGAGACATCTGTTCCTCAGTGGGGAGTGGGGAGAAAATCCAGCTCTCCTCTGTGTGGGATGGTGGTGTTATCCACTACGCTATCCAACTTTTACTCTTTTTAACCTGTTATATATCCTAAGGATTATTATTCAGTAATTACATGGAAAACAATGCAAACTGGCTGAGTTACTGTTGTTAAATTACAGGTGTGATGAATGCACGTCCGTGGAGTTTAAGTGAGTTATAACTCATCTTAAGCAGTGAAAACTGCTATGGCTAATAGTTCCTTATTCCGCAGGTTTGGATGTTGTTCAAAATAGCATCATGTTTCTGAACCTGGCTTTGCACCGATGCTGATAAATCTGTGGAACCTTAATATCAGCTGATTAAATATAAGATATGAGTGTTTTTGTGTATAGTACACAGAGCTCTGCCTGTAGGTTTAATAAATCTCACCTATAAAACCACCTATAAATCACCTCTTGTTAAATTAATGTACCTAAAACGTGCTGCAGTAAGTTAACCTAAAAATCACTGTTATTGTTGTCGTGGTAATCAGATTGTAATCGTCAGTATATATCGGTCAGGCCCTAGAAGACTGACCCTCTTTCAATCTGTCCACTCATTGCTGGTCTTGGACAGGTATGCCTGGTTCTCTTACAGAGCATCATTCCTGCTTTTGTCACTGTCCCAAAAATCACCACGCTGCCTTTGTTATTTCCTCAGTGTTCTGTGTATCTGCTGTTCTTTCCCCTCGTTTTTCCTCCCTTCTTTGTCAACATCCCTCTCTTTTTTGTGTTCTTGCCTTCTTCAGCCTGCCGAGCCTCACTATTCTGTCTGTAAAAGCTTTTGGAAACGCTGCCAGGGTCTTTTTGGTAGTTTAAAGCGAAAGAAAAAGGTTTATCAACAAAGTGCTGAAGAGGTAAATGGAGCTCTGGTTGGTGGCCCTGCATGAGCGAGTAGTTCATTGGTGTTTGTGCTCGTGTTCAAGCGTGTGCATGATGACCTGCTGTGAGAGCCTGACTAACACTGAAAACACCAGGAGCCAAACACACTGCTTACTGGAACTGTTTGGCCTCATGTTCCTCACCTCATCATCATCATCATCATCATCATCATAATGTCCATTTAGATACTTAGCATGGACAACAGTTGGCCGTTTGCAGTTGTGCAGCTTTTAAACTTAAAAAATAAGTAATCAGGTTAAATATTGAGTTCATTGAACTTCAAATAATAAGTTTAAAAAATGAAAAGCACAAAATATTCTATTCTCCTGGTAACTTAATATTAAAGCTCAACTCAAAAGCACTTTAAGTTTAAAAGCTGCATCATTTTTCACAGTGCAAAAATCCATAATTACAGATGCTGCGTCCATCACATTTTCAGCCCAGGTGACCTGGTAGCATCCACATCACCTTTACTAACAGATCACTTAAAATTCAGTAGAACATTTAAAACATTTTCTCATTAAAAATAAACTGGATTTGTTTGAGAACTAAAATATGAATGTTGGCCAGTTAGCAAACAAAACAGCATTCTGGAAACCCTGTCTACGTCAGTCAAAGCTGAGAAACGGTTCAGTCAGTTGAACAGGTTTCACGTCTAATAAGGAAGTCTTAATCACAGAAGCTGTCCCTCCAGATGAGCTAATGCTAAAGCTAACACTGGAGCTGGTTGGTTGCCGAGGAGGACTTGCCGTTGCTAAGCCAAGAAAAGCTTTTTAGCTAGCTGAGTGATCTTAACGTTGTGCTGTGACGTTAGACACCATCTTAAAGTGATGTTTGGTAAATACCGTAATGAGGACAGAGTGCATCGTGGGCTGTGGGTTTGGTTGTTCAGGAATGAAACCGTGCAGGTTTGTTTTCAGGACTTCTGTCAGATCTTCTCTACTTCACTGGGGAAGGAACGTTTAGAGACGATTGTGATTCACATGTTTTGCAGACAGTTAACTGGTGGTGATCCAGCCACACTAGACTGAAGATGACTGGCTGACTATCGACAAAGGAAGAGAGGAGCCAGAGGAGAGAAATATTGTGAATGAGATTTTATACTAATGCTGTTTGCTGTCCGGTGTGGTCCAGAGGAGGATGGGTTCCCCTTTTGAGTCTTGGTTCCTCTCAGTGTCTGTGTTTACATGCAACGATTTTTGCCAATCCGATTGAATACAATCCGATTACAGATTTAGACTGAGGTGTTTATATGCACTCTATTCAACAATCTGATGGAAAATCTTCGTTTACATGCTCACTACAAGTAATCCGATGCAAAATGACGCGCATGCGTGGAGTAGCGCTTAGAGTAAACGTTACCATGACAGCGAACATCACGTGAGGTCCAGACCAGTTTCTGCTCCGCCATGTTGAGCGGTGTAAACTTTCGCCGTGACGCGACGCACATGCGCAGAACATACTTACACGTTCCGATTGGAATGTAATCAGATTCAGGCGTTTACATGGCTATTATTCTTCTATTTAACGGATTATTTAGAAGTTTACCCACCTCGTTTAATCGGATAGAAATTGTATTCCGAATGGCCTCAATCGGATTAGACTATTCCGATTGAGGTGTTTACATGGACGTATTCTATTCCGATTGAGCTATTAGTCGGATTATTAACGGATTATCAGGCTGCATGTAAACTACTGGCTAGTGTTTCTTCGTCTTGCTCGTAGGGAGTTTTCTTGCTGCTGTAGGCCTCGGCGACGCTCATGGGGGCTCAGACCCGGATTTTTCTGTATAGCTGCTTTGTGACAACTGCTGTAAAAAGCGCCGTTTAAATAAACTTTGACTTGACTTGACTTGAGATCTCCTCTTGATCTCAGGCACTTCTCCGAGACGTGACTAAGTCCTGTTTGGAATGAGAGTGAGACTTCATGTGAGGCTCCCGAGTGGCACAACCATCTAAGCGTTGTCCCTTCATCAGGACGGAACTTCGTGAGTTTGTCCAGGACAGCACAGCTGTCCTCACTCTCTCTGGGTGGGCATGATGGCCCCCCATCTCCCCCCATCACTCAACTCAGAGGACTTGTTTGCTTTCGCCCTCTTAGCGCTGCTGGTATGGTGTGACTGAGAGAGTCAGAACTAGTGGGTGGAACTGGATACGACTAAATTGGGGGAGAAAACTCGAAAAAGTAAAAAATAGATTTTCTCACTATCATCATCACACATGAGGATTAACTCTTTAGCGTCTGACTCAGTCTGAGCTGAATAATGTCTCCATATGAAAAGAGTAAGATCTCATTGTTTCCTTATACAGCTCTGTTCTAGATCAGAGAACCCTCTCGGCAGTCTGTCAGTGCAGAAGGAGAACTCATACTTTTCTCACTCATCACCAGATATTCTCACAGTGAAATGCTGATGTTCATCTTCCTGAAGGGGCTTCAGGAGAAAGAATTCAGAATTCAGTGAAAGGTCCCAGTTTACATTGTGTCCCTAATAACTGCGTAATTACACATTAACAGCTACGTGTGGTGTGTTCACAGTTACAGAAGGGTTACCGTAGTACAGCTTACGTAAACACACGTGTATCCGAAGGTGAGGAGAATTACAGTTGTAAGAAAAGGTGTTTTTCCAACAATACTTCTCAGTACAGCTTAGAACATATCATTTCAGTGGATTATGGTTCAGTTATGTTCCCTGACTAAAGGTACTGAGATGGACACTTGAGGGTCCCACCCCAGTGACAAGAGGGGGACTGACCCAGAGACAGTTTAGTACCTTTATTTCTGAGAGTGTAGAAGAAGATAAATAGTGATCTGCTGTTGCTGGAAATACTGTCACAGTATAGAGTGGTTTAGAGTAGTATCACAATATATCAAGAAATTTTCACAATACACAGTATATGTGTATATATATATATATACATATATATATATATATATATATATATATATATATATATATATATATATATATATATATATATATTTTATGATAAGTTAGTTTTTTAAGCTGGGTCACAGCACATGTGCACTGCTACAGCTAAATGTTAAGAAAGTGGGCATTTCCTGTACAGATGCACTGCATGTACTCAATGTTGGTAATTACACATCTGTTACGGTCAGAACAGTCTTGTTGGAAAACTAGCCGTCCACCTTATCACACAAGCATAATGACAGAAAAGAAAAGATTACATGTTATTACATGAGTTAAAACTGAAGCTGACGTGTGTTTTGATAAGCTGTACTACTGTAATCCATCTATAACAGTGAATACATCACCACCAGGTCACACTGTCGTTCTCTGCTGTCGAAACAAAACCTTGTATCTCCATTTTTGGTTTCGTTCTTCAGTTTTTGACATGTGAAAAAGCCTGTTGTCCTTTATGTTGTGTGTAAATTTCATGTTGAATGGACCAAAAGAAATGACTTGGAAAAAAGTCTGGTTCCATTGACTTACATTCAAAATAAAGTAGGTTTTTCGTTCTTCTGTAAAGTTACTATTTTGGAGATACGAGGTTTCGTTCTGACGGCAGTGTGGTGTGTATTGTTAATGTGTAACTACACAGTTATTAGAGACACGTAATATCAAGTGGGACCCAGGGATCCTTCATTAATACAGTAGAGATCTGCTTTGTTTCTTTGAGAGTCTTAAGAAGGACGTTTTTCCTCTGGGGACCACTGATGGAGGGGGTGGTGCAGTTTAGAAGCAGTTTCAAACAGGTGTGGTCGGGCAATGAAAAGATGATTGAGGAAACGGATTAAAGGGCCTCGCTCAAAGCAGACGTGGCCCATTAGTGGACTTTTTTGGAGGAACCTTCTCCAAAGCAAACACAAAGCCCCATTTGAAAGCTCGGATTGTTTAGCGAGCTATCTTTGGGACATTTCGGGGAGTAATTGCAAGAAAAATAAAAAGTATTGTGTTCTTTGGAAAAGGCACAGTGGAGTCTAGAAGCATGTGTATGATTGCTTTAGAGCCTGCAGGTTTCTCACTGCGCCAGAAGAGTCTGTGAAGTGTAAGAGGCAGAAACCGTCGTGGAAGTTGAGCTGTAGCTGTAGGTTTATTGCTCACTTTCTCATGTCGTCCGGTAGTAACCGTTCCACAGTGGAGCTCCTCAGGGAGACTCGGATGACAGAGTTCTCGGGATAACAACGGGGGGGATTACAGCTCGTGGGAAAAGGGCTGCCCGCTGTCAAATTCCAGCAACTCCACCACATTTTGATATGACCAGCCTTTTTTAGATCGTGAGAGACCCCGGGATCATAAATATTCCGGACGTGGGGCTCAGCTTTCAGCTTCTGAGAACCACTTCTAGATAATGAGACCCCAGAGGTCTGTGTGCATAAACACAGTGTGGTTGAGTTTATCATGAACAATTAGTTAAACACAGTGAGGAACCCTCAGGACCTTCTAGTACACGCTTAAAAAGGATGGTTCACCAGGGGTTCTTTAGTAAAGAAAATAGTTCTATATCTTTGCATGATTAAAGGGTTCTTTGCACCTCAAAGGGTTCCTCAGATTGGTGGAGAATGTGCTGTAGATGATTCTATATAGAACCTTTTGAAAAGTGTCCTGGATGGCACCAAAAGTGTTCTTCTATTGTTATGGTGTCAAGCTTGTATCAGTAGAGGAACCCTTTTTTAGTGCTGTATAGAACCATACACAGCACATTCCCCCTCAATCTGAAGAACCGTTCACCATGTAAAGAACCATTTAATCATGCAAAGGGTTGTTTGAGTGTTCATGTTTCTATATAGAACCATGTTCTTTACTAAAAACCCTTGAAGAACCATCATTTTTATTGTTTGGTACTTTACAGAAGATCATAAACAGACAGACATTCAGGAGCTTTAAGAACGCTTTGCATGATTAAAGGGTTCTTTGCTTCCTGAAAGTGTTCTTCAGGTTAATGGAAAATGTGCTGTACTGCGCCGTTTTCTTTACTAAAGAACCCTTGAGGAACCATCTTTTTTAAGTGAGCAGCTTTAACAGTCACAGTTCAGCACTGTTAAATATGAAGGTACAGATGTTTGTGCTGTTCATTGTGACTTATGTACACAAGCTCCAGTCATCTACGCAGAGCTGTGAAGGGAAATGAATTGAAAAATGAGAATGAATTGACAGAAGATGAGAGGTAGGAGAGCGAGAGCTGCTCTCTCAGCTATTATATAAGCCTGTTCTGGGCCTGATGTAAAAGCGTGTGTTCATGGTGTGGCGACAGGATGTGACCTCACCCTCGCTTCTTATGAAAGGCCCGTATTTAAATAGCTTTCAGCAGGGGCGCCTGAGGAATGTGCGGTGAACTTTCTACAAGACCTCCTAACTGCACCGTATGATTTATGGTCTGGAGCCGCCGCAGCAACACAAGATTAGTCACACAGGTGAAAGGTCGAGCCATTACAGCTGAGCATGACGGCATGTTGAGGAGCAGATGATTCTGATTAAGTCTGGGAGAAGAAAGAGACGTGTGACTGTACAGCCTCGCCAACGTCCTCCCGTCCTTCCTGTACGCTTTCTAAGACCAGTCAAAACAGCCAGTAAGTACATGTTAGTGATTTCTCTGGAGATACTTGTGAGGAGATTAAGAGAGCGAGAGAAAATAGGGCTCCTAACAACCACCTGGAAGAGCTGGTCGACCCCAAAACTGCCCCCATCAGATAAACAGCACTTAAAGCTTTCATCTCTGAGAGAGAGGAGAAAATCAAGCTGCTTCAGATCTGAAAACATCCACAGGTGTTTCTGTCCATCCTTCCACTGTGAGAAGACGACTCAGCGCTGTGGGTCTGAAAGGATGTGTAGCTGATCAAGAAGAACCTCACTGAGAAAAGGAGACGGACACATCAAACAAAGAAGCTGAACGATGGACTGACCACCCCAGAGTCCAGACCTCAACCATTGAATGTGTTTGATTACTTCAGAAAATCATCAACCAGCTTCTAAGACTGAACTTTGGAGGTGTGTCTGCAGATTCTTTGAGGAACTGAAAGTGAGTCTCCTGAAAAGAATGGAAGCTGGACACTCTAAGGCCCAGTCCCATTTCTTATTTTTAGCCCTACCCCTTGTTTTCGAGTGTTGCCCCTTGGAGCTGAGTTACAGGGTAGTGGTTGAGATCTTCCCTCTGAAATGGGACCCTCAAATAAAAAGAGCATCACTTCATTAACAGCTACCAGCGCTGCTCTGTAGGAGACGCTGCCAGTCTGCAGTGACAGCAGAGGAGGGTAAAGTTCAGCTCCTCACTGCTGGGCTTTAGTTACATTTAGGGCATCATATGACTTCAAAGAGGGGGCAATTATTTATTATCACCCACCCCTAATTTATCAGTGATATGAAGCTGCAGTCAGATATTCACCAGCTTCTTGTTCAAATTTCCCCGTTCCACCTTAAATGGTGCAGCAGTTCTGATGCCTGAGGAGCCAGAATGTAACTGCTGCACCATTTAAGGTGGAACGGGAAATTTAGCTACTGAGACGTCAGCACTACTAGTGATGTTTCATGCTTGTTATTAAAAAAAGGACCATAATACACTGAAACGGCATTAAACTAAGATAAAACAGTGGTTATCGTAATTTTTAATAGAGAAGATTCTCACATTTGTGGGGTTTTTTGGTCTCTTGTTCTCCATCTCGCTGGTTTTTCTTTTTTTCTCATAACTCTCTGTTTGGAAAACCTCCGTTTGGAGGGTCATGTAGCCCCAACACTTCACCCCACCCCTCTATCCCAACAAGAATCGGGACACCCTACCTCTAGACGCAAATAACAGAGGGGTAGGGCTGAGTGGTAGGGGCGAGGGTGAAATGGAATTGGGCCTAAACACTAAATCATTTAGCGATTGAGGTTCTTCTGTTGAGGCTGCTTTTTCTGGCCTTTTTGACTGGACATTAAATAAATAAAGGGCGATCTCTGACTTTTGCACAGTGCTGTGGCTTTAGGCTGTGAATATTTAGTAATATGGAGTCGATTCTTACAGTCGATTGTTTTTGCTGTTTCAGTCATTCATCAGTAACAAATTTGCCTGTGTTTTTGCTGAGGAATGCGAGCCGAGCTAGCATGAGACTAGCAGTACTCATAGTCTATACTTACCAAAGTACACTCCTAAAAACGGTTCTTTAGGGGTTCTTTAGTAAGGAACATGCTTCTATATAGAACCATAAACACTCAAAGAACCATTCGCATGATTAACAGGTTCTTTGCATCATTACTACTTTAGATTGATAACAAATATACTGTAGATGGTTCTATATAGAACCTTTTTGGAAAGGGTTCTATATAGCACCAAAAATGGTTCTTCTGTTGTTACAGGCATGACATATTTAAAAAAAAAGTTCTATATAGAAGCGTATAAAACACACTCTCCATCAATCTGAAGAGCTCTTTAATCATGCAAAGGGTTCTTTGAGTGTTCGTGGTTCCATATAGAACCATGTTCTTTACTAAAGAACCCCTGAAGAACCATCTTTTTTAAGTGTGTACTGTATTTCATGTTTTGGTTCAAATATGTAAACATGACGCCCCTGAAGACGTCTCACACACAACTAATTATTTTTTGTTTACATATGTCGATCTGATCTGATTGGTTAATACAGTACAGACAGAAAAGTGCTTTGAAAATGACTTGTCATAAACTGCTTATGCATGCTTAATAATGGCCTTATGCATGGGCCTAACAGTGTGTGTCAGCAAACAAAATCACTCGTGAAATAATTAACATAACCCTCTCTTTTCGTTCTAGGTAAGTACGTACTTGCATGTTAAGGACGCCATCCAGTCAGTAGCCCCCGTGTACGAGAGTATGACACTGCCTCCACCTCACGGCACGGTGCACAGCCCTGCCTCCTTCTCTCCTCGTGCCTCCTGGCGCTCCTCCTCCTCCTCCCCAGAGGTGGACAGCACCTCCCTGGAGTATCTGCCCAGGAACAGCACCACCATCTTCAGCAGCTTACGAAGGAAAAGCAAGAAGAGGAAGAAGAAGAAAGACGCCCGCAGGCACACCGTCCAGAGAATCATGGGTGTGGAACCTTCAGAGGAGGCATCTTCTCCACCAGAACATGAGCCTCTCACATACAACATGCATACCTGGCCTCTGAAGGACAAGAAGAAGAGAAAGAACGAGAGGAGGTCTGACCGTAAAGACCCTCAGCTCATGGACTATGTGAAGAACCCCCTGGTGAAGGACATTGATGCTGAATGCTTAGGAGGACTCACTTCTCCTGATCCATGCGTGACTGTGGAACAGTCCACCTCAGGTCATGTGAAGAACCACTGCAGGTTCCTCTCGCTGGGTTCTGTGCTGAGTTTTGACCTGCCTAAGGACATGAGCCTCATCCCATGTATTCAAGACATCATCACCATCGGTCCAGCTGATTCCAGGAAAGCAGCCTCCCAAGACCAGGACTCTCATCCAGAGCACACTACGGCTCTAAGCACCTTCAAACTGGCTCGCTCACAACCCACACACAAACATGGAGACCCCAAACCCGCACCTCCTGGGGAGATATCCCTCAAGATCGACTGCCAGAACAATCAGAAGATCCATATAGATGCCGTTTCCGTTTATCATAATGATGTTCCTCCTGCTCCTCCTCCAGCTGAGGACGTCCTATTTGAGGAAAGTCAAACCTCTTCTCTTAGTGATCCAACCAGCATCAGGCTTCACGGAGAAGCGAGCCTTGGGTGGGATCAAATGGCAGCCCACCTGGGCAGCAGTGATCACCAGCCTCCAACTTCAATCCAGGAAAGTCCAGAGCAGAACCAAGAGAGTATCTCAGCCCCAAATCATCACCAGACGTCTTCTACAGCTGAGGAACACATATGCCCCAGCGTCCACACTCTGATCCAGGACCTTCATGGCCATCTCTACCATAAAGCCAAGCCCACATGCTCTCAACCAAGCAGAGAAAGTCCTGGGGCCACCCAGAGCCACGCGTCCCACGTCGTCTTAAACTTCAAAGCCAATGGAAGAGAAGACTCCGTGGATTCCGGCCACTCAAGCTCTGGTAGCTTCAAGCTGTGCATGGAGCCCCCATATGTGGACACCTCTGAATACCCAGCACCCAGGAGAACTTTGGGGAAGCTATCATCTCTGGAAGTAGAAGAGCCTCACAGGAACGTGGAGCCCACTAACTCACCAGTAGATGACCCTGTCCACCCTGACCACCAGCAGTTTGAGCAGGAAGAGGAGGAGCTGGAGGACATTTGGAACCAGACTAACGGCTATCGCCAGAGCATCTGCTCGGACATCATGTACCAGACTGAGCCCGCCGGCTCTTCTCCAGACCAGCAAAGGGACCCCTCACCTAAAGAGCAAGCCGTACTGGTCAGAAAGATGATCACCGCCTCTGCTCCCAACCTTCTAGTAGCTGAGTTCAGACTTCCATCCTCCATTCACAACCTGGTGGGTCACAGGAAGGACTGGAGCCCCAAGGAGGACGCTCGTATCTTATCTAATGGAGAGAGAAGGTCCTGGGGCGCATTCCCTCAACAGGAGCAGGCGTCCAGCGAGGCAGTGGTGGTCAATGAAACGGCCTCAGAACCTGTGAAAATTCCAGAGCTTAAGGATCATCAAAACTATATCTACCAGTATAGAGAGGAGGAGGAGGAGGAGGAGGAGGAGGAAGGTGATAAAGGGGGTATGAAGGTGAGGTGTGCAAGCTGGCAATTTGATAACTGTCTGCTGAAAGTCAGATCAGCATATACTTTGGAATGAAGAGTAGAGCCTAAATAATGCAAACTATTCTAGAGCATTACTTAAAGGGGAATTCCACCTATTTTTCAACATTTCTGTATAATTGAAACAGTGAGGTGTAAACAGAGAGATTCAGAGTGGTTTGGTGTGAAATGGTTCAGATGTCTTTACAGTGGTGGTGATAGGAACCAGGGGTCGCCATGACTACAACACAGATATAGACATTTTATTTACTATCCAGAACCACCAGTGAACCTACACGAGTCTTCTGAGTCTATATGGAATGTTGATGATGGAAAATAGTGGAAAACCTGAAATAATAAGTTTTCTTTGGGGGCTATTTTGCCTCACAGCTCCCTGCATGTATCCCTCCACCATGAATGGATTAAAATAAATTCATTTAAATACCTTTTAGACCAAAACCTTATCACAAAACTGACGTAAAACAATGTCTCAGACAAAATGATAAAGAAGTGGAAAATCTGAAAATGATATGTTTTCTTTGGGGACTACTTTTCCTCACAATGCCTTACTTGTTTTGTATCCCTCCACCATGAAAGGATTTAAAGGCCCAATTGTTCTCAAAACTATCATAAAACAGTGTCTCAGTCATCAGGCAGTGAATTCATAACCATTTCATGTAGGAACTTTCTGTGAGGGAGCTTTTAGAGGTGGACGTCTGGTTCCTATCACCACCACTGTGAACAGTTCTGACTCAGTAAGTTTATCTAGAACAGAGCGTTTCACACCAAACCACTCTGAACCGCTCTGATTACATCTTAACCACTTAATTATGCAGAATTTTTGAAAACTAGGTGGAGTTCCTCTTTTAGTCAGGACACTACAGGTGAATAGGGTATTTTTTAAAACAATCACAATGAATATCCACCAGTTTATTACTGATATTCCTACAAATCTTTTTTGTATTGGAGGTTTTGTAAAAGGTTCAAAGGGTTCTCTGCGTGGTGAAATCGTTCTTCAAATTGATGAGGAATGTGTTGTATATGGTTCTATATAGCACCAAAAAGGGTTCTGCTATTCTGATGAACTTGTAACAATAGAAGAACATTTTTGGTGCTACGCAGAACCCTTTTCAAAAAGGAAAGAAGCTTGTAAGTGATAAACAACACAACATGGTTGTGCTGAGTGTGGGCGGAGCTAAGCCCTCATTAAAGTTGTGTTAAACTTGGACAATATATTTGGATTAAAATAGATGTGAACTGACCAAATGAACGTATTTCTGTTTAATTACAGTTTAAGAGACGACTCATTACAGATTTTATCTATAACCATCCAGGAGACTGAAAAATGGTCAGCAAGACCAAAACTGTTTCTGCATTGTTTATTGTTTCCAGCATTTTGTCGTGCACTGCTGAGGTTTAGACTGTCTGAGGTTCTGTCGGGTAACATTAGTGATGTTTCTCTCCTTACAGGATCAGTCCATGAGCCTTTTGTCTGTTCATATGGGCCTGGACGGGGATGCCCAGGTACCCAACCACAACACTGGGGTGCAGACCGCCTCCAGCCCCATGGTAAGTTGTAATGCTTGTTTTAATAAGAAAATGACCTTTGAAGCCACAATCAGGACTTGAACTGAATTGAACTGAATGTATTTGATAATTAAAAATACATATAACACCGCAGAGCAGCCCTTACACACACTGAAATCACCACGGATTAAAACACAGTGAAGCCCTGAAGTTTATTTCAACAGGAACATTTTTTTGACCAAATACCAGAACATATTTTTACTACTCATCAATGCAGAGTCCAATACCGTAATGAACTACCTACTCAGAATGAAATAGCTGCTAGTATAAACGAGTGCAATGTACCTTCACAGTTAAATCATAAAAATCTAGCGGTTCTGTGGAGTTTTAAGAGTTTAAAATTTCTGTAGTAAGGTGTGGACGATATGGCAGAAATACAAAGTCATGATATTTTAAGACATTTTTATGATACACAGTAAGTGTCCCGATTAGGGATGCATCAATAATGACTGAGTATGAATGCATATTTTTAGGTGCTGATACTGAGTCCGATACCACACTGAGTAACCTGTATGTTTGAATAGACCATCGTGTTCAGACAAAGCTACGAATTATAAACTCACACTGTACGAAACGCTCCGTCTGACTGACCTGCTACAGGAAACGCAGCCTCTACAGACGCTCTGTCTACAGACCGTTATCAATAAAGCTGATTCACTCAGAATAACCGAGTACTGAGCAAACATACTGAGACACTGAGCAGCACTGCTATCACTCAGCACTGAAACAGTAGGACAAAAGCGTTCACACCGTGTTTGAATGCTGCTGCTACACCTGAACTGAAATATTACAGCATAAGTATACACACCTCACTGTGATAAACAGCTAATCAACTCTTACTGTCAATACAGCACTTTATTTGAATCGTATTATTTAAATAGGAAACTGATTTTAAATGGAAAAATTTAAAAGCCTGTTCGGCCCATTTAAAAGCAAATAGTGTTGCTTTTATTGCAAGTTTGGCTGATAAAAGTCCTGATAGTGAGTTTCATGTGTTTATTCATCCCACACAGTGTCAGCTTTGGATAAAAAAGCTAACAATAATCAGCCAATTCCCAATTTGGCTGTAAAGAAATTAGAATTGGAATTGGCCAAAAATATTCATGCTCAGTGCATCCCTTTTTTGGTACTATATAGAACCATTTTTGCTAGTTGAGTGTAAAATTAAATCCATCCTTTCTACTGTATACCATATAGTCTTTTGAACTAAATATGGATTATAATGATTGTGCGGAGGGGATGGTTATATAAAGGTGAAAAAATGTGGTGTATTACGCCAAGGCTAGCTCTGACTTTAATTAATACCAACAACATCAATCAGTATCAGAATCAGATTTATTGGTGAAGTATGTAAACACACACAAGGAAATTGGTTCCAGTTGGCGTCTCTCTAGTATTAAATGCAATAAAAAAAACAATGTACAAATAATTTACAGACAATTTACAATATACACATTATACACCGATCAGCCTTAACATTCTGACCACCTCCCTGTTTCTGCACTCATTGTCCATTTTATCAGCTCCACTTACTATATAGGTGCACTTTGTAGTTCTACAGTTACAGACTGTAGTCCATCTGTTTCTCTGATACTTTGTTAGCCCCCTTTTACCCTGTTCTTCAGTGGTCAGGACCCCCATGGACCCTCACAGAGCAGGTACTATTTGGGTGGTGGATCATTCTCAGCACTGCAGTAACACTGATGTGGTGGTGGTGTGTTAGTGTGTGTTGTGCTGGTATGAGTGGATCAGACACAGCAGTGCTGCTGGAGTTTTTAAACACCTCAGTGTCACTGCTGGACTGAGAATAGTCCACCAACCAAAAATATCCAGCCAACAGCGTCCTGTGGGCAGCGTCCTGTGACCAATGATGAAGGACTAGAGGATGACCAACACAAACTGTGCAGCAGCAGATGAGCTATCGTCTCTGACTTTACATCTACAAGGTGGACCGACAAGGTAGGAGTGTCTAATAGAGTGGACAGTGAGTGGACACAGTGTTTAAACACTCCAGCAGCACTGCTGTGTCTGATCCACTCATACCAGCACAACACACACTAACACACCACCACCACATCAGTGTTACTGCAGTGCTGAGAATGATCCACCACCCAAATAGTACCTGCTCTGTGAGGGTCCATGGGGGTCCTGACCACTGAAGAACAGGGTAAAAGGGGGCTAACAAAGTATGCAGAGAAACAGATGGACTACAGTCTGTAACTGTAGAACTACAAAGTGCTCCTATATAGTAAGTGGAGCTGATAAAATGGACAATGAGCGTAGAAACAAGGAGGTGGTCATAATGCTATGCCTGATTGGTGTACACAGTATACAGGCAATATCCAAATTATATATGGACAATAATTTACAGACAATGTACATATTAGTTACAGACAAAACACAATATACAAGCAACATTCAGATTATGTAGGAAAAATCAATATACATAGCTGTGTGGCAGAGCAAACAGCAGTAATGTATGAGAATGAAATCGTGGTGCACACTGGTATGAGTCTGAGGCAGAGTGTAATAACTATCTGGATGGAAAAAAAGAAAAAAAACAACAAACAATAAATATTGTGTCATATGGTGTTGTTTGATGACCTATATTGTTTACCAGACTAAGCCACTAAGACTAGGCCAGTCACTTGCATTGATCCTCAATTTAAATGACACTCAGTGCCAAAACATCAGGAATGAGGTTTACAGAAAGAGGTCGTGTGAAATGTCACTGTAAAATCTTGAACATGTTTTTCTGTCCGTTCTAGAGCTCCAGGCGAGAGTTCCCGTCTATGGAGGGGACACTAGAGAGGAAGCACAGACTGCTGCTGGGGGGGAGGAGAGTGAGTGATTTCACTGCACACGCTCTCTCTGGTCTAAATGCACCTTAATTACGTTCAGTGTGTTTGTTCATCATCTTGTCACTAATATTTGGCCCCTATAGGCGCCGTGCAGGGCGTGGAGCTCATACCACGCTGTCCTGTACAGACAGACGCTGTGTTTCTACCAGGACAGAAAAGACACCATGAGGGTAAGACAGAACCGCCTGCTGAGAGCAGCTCTGCACTTCTGTTCATTATCGCTGCACCATGTAAGACAGTGGTGTACCAGCCAAGTGTGCAGCTCAGTTGAAATTATTCTGTGTGTTTTTGTCCCCAGAGCTCTGTGACAAGCCTGCCGCTGAACCTAACCGGTGCCGAATGTGTCCCAGCACCAGAGTACAGCAAGAAACCCAACTGCTTCAGCCTGAGGTCAGAAAAGATATTGATAAACTATTTAGAGAGCTGTTGTTCAGTGAACGGGATTTTTTACATATTTGAAATGCAAAATACACTCCAGTCGATGCTGAAACACATTCCAAACACGAAAATGTATTTCAGAATATTTTGCCATATTAACCAAGTATATTTTAAAATGCATTTATTTTAAAATGTATGGGGAAATATTACACTTAGAAATGTACCATATAAAAATAAACGTCTGTACACTGTTAGTAATAAAGGTTCTGTGCAGGTACAGTTCTGGTTCATCAAGGTACAAACAGTGTAAATGTTCCCTCAAAGCTCCAACAGTGGTTTTAGGGTCTGATTGTGAACCTTAAATAAGTGTTTCCAGGTGAAAAGTTCGTATTTGTACCTTTTCATAACCGAATGTTTTAAACAGAACAGTAAAATAAAAGCCTGGAGGCGAGACGGGGTGTGTGGAGTCAGTACAGCTTAGAACATATCATTTCAGTGGATTATGGTTCAGTTATGTTCCCTGACTAAAGGTACTGAGATGGACCCTTGAGGGCTCCACCCCAGTGATGAGAGGGGAACCGCCCCAGAGACAGTTTAGGACCTTTATTTCTGAGAGTGTAAATGTGTTTATCAGACACATCTGAAAATGTATGAAAATATCCAGAATCCTGTCTGATGCTCTTCACTGTCTGATACCTTTAGAAATTAGTTTCCAGTATCTTCATTTTAAATCTGATCAAATGATCCTTTATCAGGACAGAAGCGAGAGTTGTGGGTATTGATACTCTGTGAAAATGCAGTTATGATCTGATATCTTGTTTATGTGAAATACATTGTGTGTGAGAGTCTGACTGCAGACGTACATGGTTAATGTAAAGTACAGTGCAGATCACAGAAGTCAGTGTTGTTCATTCAGCTCATGTATATTTAGTTGTATCTGTAAGCTTTGTTAAAACTACATACAACTGAAGAAAATATAATAACAAATACAAATAAATGCATTTAAAAATATATTTAACAAATACATTTTTGGCCATTTTCGTATATAGCCACAACATATTTGATAAATACATTTGGAATATATATTTTTTTCCGTATGGGAAGGATGCACAATATCATATCTGTATCATATCAGTAATGACTGATAATTGATTTTTAAAAAATCATTGGCATCAGGCTGATACTTAGATTTGGCCAATATATAAAACTGATATTTGATGATGCCTGTATTTTAAGCCAGAAGAGCACTGTAAACATGTAGCAGCATAGGTAAAATGAAAAAATAGCTGATATCGGCATTGGCCCAGAATTCCCATATCAGTCCACAAAGGGCTCTGCTATTGTTAAGATGTCAAGCTTGTACACAACAGAAGAACCTTTCTGGTTCTATATAGAACAAGGTTACCAGAAAAAGGTTGTTTATAATGGTATACGACTCATTCTCCATCAATCTGAAGAACGATTTCACCATGCAGAGAACCATTTAAGCAGGAGATAGTTCTATACAGAACCACTGCCATTACTAGAGAACCCTTGAAGAACCATACCAAGAGTGTTCTTGGGTACGTTTGATAACACCCTCGAAGTCAGCAAGATGAGACCATCACTGCCGATGTTTTGTCCGTTCTGTTTGTATGAACTGTACAGCTGGGCGATATGACAAAAATATAATATTGCGATAATTTTCACACACAATATGTCATGATATTTTATTGACATCTGATCAGTTTGAACAGAGAAAAAAGAGCCAGTAGAGCTACATTTAAAAAATACTACCAAACACTGTGAACACAGTGATTTATATTCAGTATTTCTCTCTAAATCCAGTTAAATGGATTAATTTTACTCTCTTTATTCCACAAGCACTGACGATATACAGGATATGTAATTATCACAATAACACTATATATTGTCATATCGCCCAGCCCTAATTTACTGCTGCTGCTGCCTTTTTGTTTACGAACACCGTGATTTGATCTGTATGACATCATCAACACCAGCTCTCATTCACTCTTAGCCACTTCAGTTAATTGTCCTTTTAAGGGTTGATTGACGTGTAGTGCTTCACTCTCAGGCTGCGTGACGGATCCGAGTACCTTCTAAGTGCCTCCTCTCGCTTCATGATGAAGAAGTGGATGCTGAGAATCCAGGCCAACGCTGGTAAACCTTAGATTAAAACAGTGAATAGATCTAACATGGAATTTAATGCGACTGTGATTCATTATTAACGACTTCTGCCTGACTACAGAGTCCAGTGAGTCCAGTGAAGCTAATATAACCACAACGTACGGGTCCACGGCACAGGCCACGTTCCCCAGGGGTTCCTCATCATCTGCTGGCTGTCAGTGCAGAGCTGCGTGCCAGTGCTCCACGAAGGGAGACGGTCACTGGGCTCTCCAGAGCCGCAGTCAGTCGGTCAGCTCGGCCAGAACCAAAGAGATTGTGGTCCTCGCCGGAGATGCCTCGCACATCTCTCAGTGGCGTTGTGGGAGTCCGGAGGAGCTTTCGCCCACCTTAACTTCAGCCGCAGGACAGTGTGGTGAGTGTTTGTATGGATTAAAGTTAGATATGGATATAAAGTTTATAGATATGGAGGAAAATGGGTGAAAATGCCCCATTAAGATAGGGCTGAACGATTTGGGAAAATATCTAATTTTTCTGACTAATATTGCGTCTGTGATTTAAATTGTGATTATTTTCTATAAATTGGGGTTCAGGCTTTTTTTTTGCCAAGAAGACCAGAACATCCATCTTTTCTGGCTTGAGGCTTGAACGTAGTGCACCAGACTGCCAGTAAGTTGTGGTTGTGATGTCACACAGAGGTTTGGTTGCCTCTGATTGGTCTATCTCCTCTACAGGCAGTTCACAAACTCTATTTTATTAGACTAAATTTTCCCAACCAAAACTTACAACGTTGTTGATAACGTAGGCTATAATTTTAAAAAATTGCAGCTCTTGCAGTTTGAAAAATTGCACTCTTTTAAATTGGGATTTCGATATATATATGAATATATATGGATTTAGATATATAAAAACAATTAATCTTTCAGCCCCACTTAAAGAACAGTGTCCATTTACTGTACAGCTGAATCATCTCTGTGTGAGTTTATCATGTACAGGCTGATGGTGTATAAACCTGCACACAGTTAGAGGAGATAAACTGGAGCAGCAGACAGGTCTGCTTATATAACACAAACAAACACAGCTTTTAAAGGGGGCATCTGGGGTAAAAAGCCCCCCCAACCTGGGATAAGAAGCCCCCTCCTTGTGAATCTTGCATCGGTTTAGGATTTAGGTTTAAATGGCGCTATTTATAAAAGAACAACATCTTACATTTAATTTATAAATATTCTTTTATTAATCGCACAATTTAAACCTAAACCCTAAACTGTTGCAAGATTCACAGGGGGGCTTTCTTATCCCAGGTTCGGGGGCTTCTATCTATCAGTCAGAAGCTAATAGTCAAGTACACCCTTAAAAAAGCCAGTTTATGTACGTTATTTTAATAAGCAAACAACAAAAACATAGAAACACTTGAAATGTTCATTTTGAATGACATAATTATATAATGTACATTGACTGAACTGTATTGGTATTAATAGTAGAATTCTTAAAGCAACAATAACATTTTAAATCAAGCAATTAAGCAACACAATTCAACATTGAATAGCTCAGTGTAAATGATAAGACTGTAATATTGTAAAAGAGACTGATCTGAGGAGACGTCTAACCCCAGAGGACTGACTTTACCTTTCACATCAATACTGTTCTCCTCTCAGAACCAAGTTCTCTCTCTACAATCCCCCATAATCATATACTTAATATTAATGTAATCATACGTACAGATAATGGCACTAATGGCAAAGCATTCGACCCACTAAAACTTTCCTAAGGAAGAAATCCCAGGAATGTGGTCATCAAGATGGAATGTCAGAACTGACTACACCATAATTATTCAGTGAATGTGTCCAGATTCAGAGCTGCGTTTGTGTCTATTCTGCCTCCTAAAGTGGTGGAGCAACGCATGAAGTGACCACTAGGGGGGAGTACAGTATTGAAGTCAGTTGACTTCCTTTGTGTATGAGGTCATCACTCAGTTTCCTCCTCTGTAGTTCTCTCTCTGTTGTCCTTCGTCTTTTTGACCTGTCCATTTTCCTCATGAGCTGTTTTTCTCACATTAGGTCTTTCCCATTTAGCCCTGTGTATTGATCTTTCTCTCTGTTCTAGAGTCCCCAGGCGTTCTGCTGGAACAGAGGTTCCACTCTCAAAGCCCCAGAGCTCCGTCCTCCTCTGTCTCCCCCAGCCAGGACTGCAAGAGACGCTCCCACTCCTTCACCTCAGGTACAGCCGGCAGTTCCACTCACTGAGTCAAGAACACGCTGAAGCAGATCTGCAGATCTCAGAGCCTTTACAGTCGACGTGCACAGAGCGGATGTTTTAATATGACCTTTAAACAACAAAGGAATTATAAATAATAAAAATGATAAATTATATATGATAAAATTATACTTACTCACAGCACAGTGTGCTATAGACGGCACGGGGAAAGAACCCTGCTGAAAAAAGACAACTGGAACCGTTAGGACTGAAACCTCCCTGTTGAAAAAAGAACCTATTTATAGAAAACCTTTTTAAAATGGTTCTATATGGAACCAAAAAGGGTGGTTCTTTTATTGTTATGATGTCAAGCTTGTCACAATAGCAAAACCCCTTTTTGATTCTCCATCAATCTGAAGAACCATTTAAGCTTGAAATGTTTCTGTATAGAACATTTTAAATTACACACATAATGTCTTACACATATGAACAAAAAGTACATATTCATATTCATAAACAGAGAAAAATAAAACCATCCGAAAGTTTTCAGATTCTAATTTATAACATTAGTTCTTTGTTGCAAAGCTTTTCTCAGCATTTACAGCTTCCAAACATCTACACTCTTAAAACAGATGGTTCTTTGAGGTTCTTTAGTAGAAAAATGCTTCTATATAGAACCATAAACACTCAAAGAACACTTTGCATGATTAAAGTGTTCATTGCATCATAAAATGGTTCTTCAGATTGATGGAGAATGTGATCTAGATGGTTCTAATATAGAACCTTTTTGAAAAGGGTTCTATATAGCACCAAAAAGGGTTCTTCTGTTGTAACAATATTGTATCATAACAATAGCGGAACCCTTTTTGGTGCTATATGGAACCCTTTTCAAAAATACCATTACATTCTTCATCAATCTGAAGAACCATTTCAACCTGCAAAGAACCATTTAATCATGCAAATGTTTCTATATAGAACTTAAGGTTCTAAACAGAACCAAAGTAACTGAAGAACCATCTTTTTTAAGAGTATAGATGTATCAAAGCTGTAACAGCTGAGAAAAGCTTTGCAACAAAGTGCTAATGTTTTTAATTTGAATCTGAAACCTTTTTCTGATTATTTTCTTTTTTCTCTGTTTATGAATATAAACAATAATAATATGTTCTTTTTGTTCATGTGTGTAAGACATTATGTGTACATATGAATGGATACATTCACTGGAGGTTTATTAAAGCCACGAGAGGCGATGTGTTACTGTGATTTTATCAGGAAGGGGTTCTTTGGCACGATGTGAGGCGGAGTAAAACTCCCTTCCCCATGATAAAATCACTATAACTCACGGCCTCGAGTGGCTTATTGCTTTTATAAAACGGCGGCCAACATAAAATATATTAAATACACACTTTTTCAGAAAATAATTTAAGTTGTTGTTAATAATAAGCAACATAAACAAGTATTCCGCCAAGAAATGTAGTTCCTTTAGAGTTTAGTATCGTTGCTAAGCAACCATGGACGCTGAATGAGAAGGATGTTCGGTCTCCCAACGCTGTGCGCTGCGGTCATTTCATTTATTTACTTTAACTTTTTGTTGTATAATAATAAACATACGATAACACAGCAGTCACCAAATCACCACCCCGAGTCTTATTTAGCACCAATCCAGCGGCCCCTCTTCTCACACTGGGGCTGAATCTCAAACGGCTCCCTGCTCCCTACATAGTGCACTACAGGAGTTTAAATACTGGATCCTGCAGCCCAACAGAGCAAAATACAGCTGAGAAACAGTCATTTGGGTCTCAGACTCATCCACACTCGATAAATGATGCACTGTTTGGCTGTAGAGGCTAGAACTTCTCAACTTTCATAGCTAGAACACTGTTTAGGGAGTACGGAGCCGTTTGAGACTCAGCCTGGGTTTGATGCCACTTCTGACTGAAACACATTTGAAACGTGTCAGACATTCAAGAGACATTTTTAGTCTTTTATTCTGCCGTTTTTCAGTGAATCATATTGTGATTTCTTTAATTCAAGCCTGTGATATTAATGATGGAGCTGTTTAGCATGTTTGCTGTCTTTTAGCCTGTTGGCTGACCAGCCTGGTTCTAGATAACATAAGTAACCAGCCCCTCAGTTTAAACAAAAACGGGTTCTTACTTCATCAGTTCACTCGGTGCTCCTTGTGAGCAGCAATAGAGTCAAAGTTCATTAACAGCAGAAGGGTTTTTCGTGCCGTGGCGCAGTGATACAGAGCTCAGTTGTGGTGAGGCGTCATTGGAGTGGTATGTCGTTGATTTTACAATGGCTTCGAACGCAGCTCAGCCAATCAGATTTTAGGATTAGAGCGATCCGTTTTATAATAAATAACAAACAACACAAAAGTGTCACTGTATTGATTATTGAAGGAATTATATAGAAGTTAATATAAGTGCAGAGCAGTAAAGACGTCCGGTGCTCATTCTGGGGGAAAACAGTGTAATGATGAAGTATATTCACTGTGGAGGTGTGACCTTTCACTGAAGGCATTTATTTGACCGCAGTGTATCCCCCCCCCCACCCCCCTCTCTTTCTCTCTCTCCCCCCTCTCCCACTCTCTCCCTCTCCCTCTCTCTCCCCCTCTCGCTCCTTCTCTCCCTCTCTCTCCCTCTTTCTCTCTCTCCCCCCCTCTCCAACTCTCTCCCTCTCCCTCTCTCTCCCCCTCTCGCTCCTTCTCTCCCTCTCTCTCCCTCTTTCTCTCTCTCCCCCCTCTCTCTCCCTCTTTCTCTCTCTCCCCCTCTCGCTCCCTCTCTCTCTCTCTCTCTTTCTCTCTCTCCCCCCCTCTCTCTCCCTCTTTCTCTCTCTCCCCCTCTCTCTCCCTCTTTCTCTCTCTCCCCCTCTCGCTCCCTCTCTCTCTCTCTCTCTCTTCCCCCCCCCCTTAGCAACGTACCAGCGGATCAAGCCGTGCGCAGCGCCCCCTGCAGGCAGCAGCCAGAACAGCGGCTCCAGCTACTCTGTGACTGTGTTCATAGGCGAGGGGGAGAGGCCGTCGGTGTGCAGCAGTGCGGTTCTCTCTCAGCCCAACAGCTGCAGACAGCAGTCCATCTCCGAGCTGCCTCTCCGGGGCTACGCCAGCCTCCCCCGCAAATCCGTCTTCAGGAAGTTCTTCGGGAAGAAGGAGTAACCGGGCCCTCGGTGACGCAGCAGGCTAACACGTCACTGACTGTCTACATGTGCAGGACACAACTGAGACGCTTAATTATGATTCTGATATTTATGGTGAGGAGAGTGAGGAGCTTTTACAGAGTCGCTGAGGAATGAGGACAATTAATGGTTTGGAGCAAAGACTTTCACCTGACTTTACTGAAAGAGCAGATATATATACTATATACTTAAAAAAGATGGTTCTTCAAGGGTTCTTTAGTGAGGAAAATGGTTCTATATAGAGCTATAAACACTTAAAGAACCTTTGCATGGTGAAAAAGTTCTTCAGATTGATGGAAAGTGGGTTTAATATGGTTCTATATAGCATCTAAAAGAACCATTTTACAATGCAAAGAGTGCTTTAGTCACGCAAAGAGTCCTTTGAGTGTTCACAGTTCTAGAGAGAACCATTGTCTTTACTAAAGTACCCTTGAAAAACCATCATTTTTAAGAATGTACACCACTAAAATGATATATTGGGAAGAGCAATCATCTTAAATCTAGTCTATATATCTAATATTTCTAATTGTGAGATGGTTGTAGGAACATAATGACTGTATAAGTAAAATATTATTGAAAATATAATCCGTCTTAATGAACATGTTTCTAGCACTGTGACTCTGACTCTGCTTCATAAGCTGGGTTCTGATTCATGGCAGGAAACTTAGTGATAATTTACAGGATTTGTTCATTCAGAGTGACAAAGCATGACTGATGTGTGAATTATATTCCAATTTATGTGTTTTTTATCTCAAAAATATTTCCGTCTTTGTGAGATCACATACTTTACATATTAACTAAACGCATCAGCAGCTCTCAGATCACGCCAAAGCAGATTAAACAGCAGAAGCGGCCTTTTCTGCATCTGTCCTAAAAGCCTGTTCTAGATCACTGTATCAGTACCGGCACAGTTCTGTCTAATCGGTCACTTCTGGGTTTTAAACATCAGTTTTATGCATCAAATCGTCCAGCAGTGCAGAGATGCAGTAAACCGGAGAGCTTAGAATCTCAGGATTCGACTCCCACGAACCGTTTTATGATCCGTTATTCACAGCAGTGACGATCGTCTCGTTAACAGCATCAGCGCCGAACGATCAAACACTATCAGATCTGAGTGTCGTCACCTTCAGAGCCTCTCCGCCTCCACAGAGACACCATCATCCAGAACATGAGGTCTGATAACACGGCAAGAGTCAGAGATCAGTTCAGAGATCTGAGTCAGGAGGAAATAAACTCCTCCGTTACAGACTCTGTTACTCTGAGTCGGTGACTCAGTTATTCTGATGGTGGACAGTGTTTCCTTTCAAATGAGACCAACATCACGACTGTAGCCCAGAGTATGAGGGAACAGCGCCCCCTTTACTTTGGGTACGCCATTTCAGGCAGCAATGGGACCACAGTTAACAGGTTAACTTAGTTCTAGACGTTTCTGCTTGTTTTAAGTCTTTTTACTTGCTTGCAGACAATTTTGCTTGTTGTAAGAAATAAAGAGTTTTGTTGCAAAACGTATTATAGATCAACATAAAACATATTTTGGTCATGATGTACCTTATTAGGAGTGGGCTTCACATATCTAAGAAATATCAATGCTGTATTATTATTAGTACCAATTTTATTAGAGAAATAAAAGGCGTTTACTTTTATATATCAGCTGATATTCTCCTCACAAACGCATAGTATCTAAAATTATAATTAAATCCCCTTAAAAAGTACTTAAAACATGCGTGAAACATCTAACAATAAGATAATATAATTTACCAGCTATCTCAATAATAAAACCATCTCAGAATGTGAAATGTTAGATATTTAGAGCAGACTGAAGATGTCTGAGGTGTCATTTTTGCAGTGTACTGCTGTGCAGCCTGTCTTAAAGCAGGTTAAATGTGTTACTGTGGTTTACTTTGACATTTTTCAGCGTTTTGTCTCGGATGACGGCCACTTTCTTCCTCCTCTCTGATCTCCTTGTTGAAGTTTGTTGTGTAGTTTGATATTCGTGTGGATTGCAGTTTATTTCCATGATTATCTCAGTCTTTCCAGCCTTTCCAGCGTCCACTGGTTTGGTTCTTGTGTGTAGGGTCCAAAATATTGTTTTCACACAAACTTTTGAATGTGTTTTTGTACATTTTGAACTTTGAACACTGTATGCAAATGAACATTCACTGTCTGGTTCTTCTGAAACGGAAGCACCTTTTTTAAGTTTGATATGGTCTTTATACTGCTTGGATAGAGCATCGCACACAATGTTGGAACGTACACACTCAGTGTGATGTAAACGCCTTAATACACAACGTTTGTGATGGCTGACGGTTTAATGCCTTGTGTTAATGTTCATTAATGGAGCTGCAATACGTCCGACTGCAGCTGCAGTGTGATTTTGTCAACCTCTCAGTGATCACAGCAGGTAGAAACTGATTTTAGCTGAATGTTATTCACTCAGTTTAACTCTTAAGGATTTGTAATAAACACTTTGAACACACAAACACACAATACTGGTTATGAAACATTAAGTTTGCATTTACTGAAACACTTTAATGAGCTTAAATGAGATTAACGAGAGTGCAGTTCTGTCTGAAAGACAAACGCTGCCCTTCATTCACTGAATTTTAGGTCAAAACAGTCATTAAGCACAAGTTTTTATTGATTTCTCAGCATCAGGGAAAACAGCTCACTCTACTCTCAGCTGTGTGAGTCAGTGAGTCACTCTCTCCCTTTATTCCAGCTTCCATTCTTTTCAGTAGACTCACTTTCAGCTCCTCAGAGAATCTGCAGACACACCTCCAAAGTTCAGTCTTAGAAGCTGGTTGATCATTTTCTGAAGTAATCAAACACATTCAGTGGTGTTGAGGTCTGGACTCTGGGGTGGTCAGTCCATCGTTCAGCTTCTTTGTTTGATGTGTCCGTCTCCTTTTCTCAGTGAGGTTCTTCTTGATCAGCTACACATCCTTTCAGACCCACAGCGCTGAGTCGTCTTCTCACAGTGGAAGGATGGACAGAAACACCTGTGGATGTTTTCAGATCTGATCAGCTTGATTTTCTCCTCTCTCTCAGAGATGAAAGCTTTAAGTGCTGTTTATCTGATGGGGGCAGTTTTGGGGTCGACCAGCTCTTCCAGGTGGTTGTTAGGAGCCACATTTTCTCTGGAGCTTTTAATCAGTTTTGGAAACTCCTTTGACTCCTTTTCTCCTTCATCATGCAAATGCACTCTTAAGAGAGTGCTTTAAGGGTTCTTGGGTAAAGAAAATGGTTCCATATAGAACCATGAACACTCAAACCCTTTGCATGGTTAAAGGGTTCTTTTCATCATGAAAAGGTTCTATAGGTTGGTGGAAAATGTGCATGAATGTGCTGTAGACAGTTCTATGTAGAACCTTTTTGAAAAGGGTTCTATATAGCACCCAAAAGTTTTGTTCCAAGCAAACCATTTTGGGTGCTACATAGAACCATTTTCAAAAAGGTTCTGTGTAGAATCATCTACAGTACACTTTCCATCTGAAGAACGCTTTCATGATGCAAAGAACCTTTTAATCATGCAAAGGGTTTGAGTGTTCATGGTTCTATATGGAACCATTTTCCTTATTAAAGAACCCTTGAAACATCCTTTTAAGAGTGTGGATTATCTTATATCTCCTCATAAGTATCTCCTGACAAATTAATAATCATTTTCCGCCTTTTTTATCCTTTAGAACTGAACAGGCTGTTTTTGTTACTGTGCCCTTAAGACTGATATATGTAAATGAGCTCTGTCCTGATTGGTTGCCCTGTATTGTGCCTCATTCAAGAAAGCAGTCCAGGCTGAAACACTACTTATAACTTCAGAGTGAGTGGGAGGGGTTAAACTCCTGCAGGCTGAATAGGTGGATAAAGCTGGAACTGATTAACCTAAAACAGGCCGTCTGTGCTCCGCAGACTGGGGTACATTCTGAAACGTTCAGCTCTGTTTACATGACCAGAGAACTTGTATAGAGAAGAATCACACTCTGTAATGTCTTCTGGGTTTCTCAAACACTAGAGGGCGCTCCCGAGCGAGTCCAAAATGAATGGGTTAATATGGAGCATTTGAGCAAAATCATAGTTTATAAATGCTGAAACATTTTTAATGTAAAATAATTCATTCATTTCTGAAACACAGCAGCATAAAACATTTTAACACTGCTGTTTTATTTTTAAGAGCTTTTAAACTCGAATTATAGCAGTTTAAATCGGCGCCTCATGTACGGCCATGACGTCAGTGAGCACGAACAGCCAATGAGCTGCTCCACTCGCCAACCAGTCAGCACTCAGTAGCAGTAATGCTGAGCAATCAGCGCTCAGTATCAGTAATGCTAACCAATCAGAGCTCAGCATCAGTAATGTTAACCAATCAGCGCTCAGTATCAGTAATGCTAACCAATCAGAGCTCAGTAGCAGTAATGCTGACCAATCAGCGCTCAGTAGCAGTAATGCTAACCAATCAGAGCTCAGTAGCAGTAATGCTGACCAATCAGCACTCAGTAGCAGTAATGCTAACCAATCAGCACTCAGTATGAGTAATGCCGACCAATCAGCACTCAGTAGCAGTAACGCTAACCAATCAGCACTCAGTAGCAGTAATGCTAACCAATCAGCACTCAGTAGCAGTAATGCTAGCCAATCAGCACTCAGTAGCAGTAATGCTAGCCAATCAGCACTCAGTAGTAGTAATGCTAACCAATCAGCACTCAGTAGCAGTAATGCTAGCCAATCAGCACTCAGTATTAGTAATGTTATTGTCCTGCTGCCCAAAACCCATCTACTATAGAAAAAAAGGAATCATACAGGTGAGTTTTCTTTTGTTTTGTCAGCGAAATTCTTTCTTCTACTGTCTGAAATTAAAGTTCTGTGTGATTAGAAACTATTTTAACTTTTCATTTTCAGCCGTTTAGCTCCATTCACCCCCATTCGTTGAGGACTTGCTCGTGGGCGCCCTCTGCTGTTTAACAGTCCTGTTTTTGATATAATGGGGGAAACAGGAAGAGGCCAAACTGGCTCTGATATGACTTCAAACTCCTTTATTACAAAAAACACAAGGTTTTCCATGATATGGGCCTGTAAGTGAAAGCAGGGTGATCAGAGCTGTATGTGTGGAAATGTAGCGCAGTGAGATAATCCTGGACAGCACTGCGCTCTTTGTCTGTGTGTCTGTCTGTCTGTCCTTTGCTCTCCCCAGTGGCGTTTCTAAGCTGCTGACTGTATTTGTATTGTCTTGAAAATGAAGGGAAGAGCAGCTCCATGGCAGCGTGAGATAAACACCCTGAAACCATCATGAAACTCAATCTGAGCCTCCGAGCTGAAGCTTAATCCCGGAGGTCAGCGCTTCACACGTTTGCATATGAAAAGCTGCCATGACTCAAAGCTTGATGCCCTTCAGTACTGATCCCTTTACCCAATCGCTGAGTCTGCGCATACATAATCGCTGCATGTTTGATGATGTAAAGATCTGCGCAGGGCCCACTTTAAATGAAGCGATTTAAGAGCCCAAAACAAAGGAAGCTACACGATCAGCCTGATACAGCCAGAGCAGATTAAGTGAAGTAAGGAGGCGGCGGGACGAGAGCAGCCTGCTGGTGAACAGTGGCCCCATCATGCTTTGTGTTTGTAGAGGATTAGAGAGCATTAGTTGCCTAAATGTGCTGGGGGGTTAAATCAGTGATGAGTTTTCCACTCTCTCTGTTGTGCTGCTGCTCATTCTGTGGCTGTTCTACTACAAACCCAATTCCAAAAGAGTTAGGACAGTGTGTGAAATGCAGATAAAAGCAGAAAGCAGTGATTAATAAATTCATTTTTACTCTTCAAACAACAGCAGTACAAGCAGAGAAGTGTTGAATTGCCACTTACTAGTGTATTCCAGGTTTGTCAGACACTAGAGGGCGCTCTCAGGTGAGGCCAAAATAAATTAAAAACATAGTTTGTAAATGTTTAAACATTTTATAAAGAAAAATGCACAGATTTTATAAATGCAGAACAGCATAAAACACTTTTGAGCACTTCATAGCATTAACGCTAACCAATCAGCACTCAGTAACAGTAATGCTGACCAATCAGCACTCAGTAACAGTAATGCTGACCAATCAGCACTCAGTAGCAGTAATGCTAACCAATCAGCACTCAGTAGCAGTAATGCTAACCAATCAGCACTCATTAGCAGTAATGCTGACCAATCAGCACTCAGTAACAGTAATGCTAACCAATCAGCACTCAGTAGCAGTAATGCTGACCAATCAGTGCTCAGTAGCAGTAATGCTGACCAATCAGTGCTCAGTAGCAGTAATGCTGACCAATCAGCGCTCAGTAGCAGTAATGCTAACCAATCAGCACTCAGTAGCAGTCATGCTGACCAATCAGTGCTCAGTAGCAGTAATGCTGACCAATCAGCGCTCAGTAGCAGTAATGCTAACCAATCAGCACTCAGTAGCAGTCATGCTAACCAATCAGCGTTCAGTAGCAATAATGTTAGTGTCCTGCTGCCAAACCCCACCACCACTGATTCACCTCTCATGTACTGAGCTGCAGCCTGAGGTCAGTTAGTCCACTTTATGGTCAAAGGGGTGACATCAGATGGTAATGAGTTAATGGTGAAAAGAGAGCAGAAGGAAAAGCCAATATCTTGGGGTTAGCTGTTAGCCATTAGCCCAGAATGGAGACTAACCAGCTTTCCGTGTGCGCCACTTATGGTGCTTCAGGCAATGCTGTGGTCTTTTTAGATTTTAGATTTACTTCAGTTGTTAAATATAGTTCTTATTAAAAGTGAAGGGACGTCCAGAATAATAAGCCATTTTAAATCCACAAAAAATGGTTTACTTAAACAAAAAAATAACCTATACTGTGATATCTGTCTAAACCATTAGTATTCTTACTTATACCGTGATGTAAATTTTTGCCCATACTGCCCACTACTAATACAGTGCATCAAAACATTCGGCGCATCCAGTGAAATCTCTGCATAAAGGAAAAGGCTGAATTGCTGTGACTTTCGACCCCTCAGATGGCACTGCATTAAAACTAACATGGGCTCAGGAATACAAATTAAAATATTTTAGATTTACCTCAAATGACTGACTGATTATTATCATTAAACATCATCTGTGGCTGCATCCACAAATGGAGGTTAAGACTCTGCACAGTGAAAGTCACATATCAACAACACCCAGAAACGCCGCCGACTTCTCTGGGCTCGAGCTCATCTGAAATGGACTGATGCTCAGTGGAAACGTGTGTTGTGGTCTGATGAGTCAGCCTTTCAGATTGTTTATGGAAATAATGGACAATTTGTTTTCCAGCCCAAA